TGACCCTGGTGTCCGCCCAGAGCACCTGCATGCCTGTGCTAGTTCGGACTCCAGGTGGACTTCCAGAGTCTGGAGGCAAGCACAGGCTGCCCAGTAATATGAGCTGCTGCTCCATCCCTAGCTATGGGGACCTGCAAGCTGTGGGTGTATGGAGCAGCCCAGGCTTTCACCTCGGGTGTCCTGGGTCGGGTACTGGAGAAAAGCTGCCCTGAAGGTAGAAGGAATGGGAGGGGACAAGCACGCTGGAGCCTCTGTAGCAGCAGCTCTTCTCTGTGTTTGCAGAAGAACACTCGTGTGTACCCTTGCATGTGGTGCAAGACGCTGTGCAAGAACTTTGACATGCTGCCCAATGTGGACCGGTCAGGGCGCACGGGCCTCTTCTGCTCCATCTGCTGCACCACCTCCCACAAAGTGAAGCAGTCGGGCCTTGTTGGTAAGAGCTCCCCCAGCTCCACAGCACCAGATCGGGAGGAGTGGAGGGAGGCAGTGTCGCACACTATGGGGTAGAAGGAGCCTGGATCTGAGGAGACCATCCCTATCCCCCCCACTCCCAAACTGGAGTGCAGGGGAAGCCGGTGTTGCAGCTGCTCTGGCCACCCAGGCTCTTTGCAGAAGCTTGGGGCCTGTCCTCTGGCACACTCTCTGCTCAGATATACCAGGGAGCCCTGGCACAGTCCTGTCCACTGGAGAAGACAACAGTGGCCCTGGCAAGACTGGTGCGTGCATGAGGCTCCTGGTGCCACTGAGCTGGCATGGGAACTGCAGGCTGCTTTCCCAGGCGAGCCAGAGCTGCACCACCCTCGCAGGGGTCAGCTCTCGTCCCCTGGGACAGTGCATCTAGCCTTGGAGAGCTTTTCTGGAGTTCACCTGTCACTGTAGTATGTGAGCGTTGTACCCACAGACAGACCTGGGGGTGAGAGTACAAGGGCTTGGGAACAAGCAGCCTAGCACTGGCCTCTCAGGCTGCTGCACTCACCATCTCCTCTCTGACTCGCCAGGTCCCCCTAGACCCTGCAGCTTCTGCAGAAAGAGCCTGTCCGAGCCCTGCTATTACAACAAGACAGACCAGGTCGTGTACCAGTTCTGCAGCCCCAGCTGCTGGACCAAATTTCAGGTACTGAGATACTCCAGAGCTCCCTTCCTCCATCTGTCCCAGCAGAGGCTGAAGCTTCCTCAGTTTCCCACAGGGAAAACATATAGGAAAGACATGCTAGGGCACTGGATCATGGTCACAGCTGCACCTGGTTGGAATGCCATGCTGTGCCCCAGGGCTGGGTGTGAGTGGAGGTTGGTTGTAATGTGCCCGTGTGGCTGCAGCCTGTGGCAGCTTGAGGCCCGGGTGGCAACTTGCATGGTGTGTTTCTGTGGAGATGCAGCAAGTGCTCCGCAGTCAGCAAGCACATGCTGTGGGGTCAGGAGCTTCCCAGTCAGCAAGCACACACTGTGCTGTCAAGACTGAGTGTGAAGGACAGGGTAGAAATGAAATGCTTTCTCATTTCTTTAGCAGCTGTGGAGGGTGTTCATCTGAGCACGCTGGAAGGTGTTTTCTGATCACTTAAAGGCACCAGACCCAGATAACTTGTACCTGATGGCCCTGAAAGATGGGGCTGGGATCTTTGACCTGTTGATATTCATTTTCCAAACATCTAGAATTTCCTCCACGTTCAAAGGAAACTGGAGGAATGGCCTTGTTGTGCTATTGTTCCAAAGGGGCATGAAGGGGTCCAAGTCATGATAGGCCATTACCTGAGGTCAATCCTGAGCAACAGAATGAAAAGTCTGAGCAGAAATTCAGTCAATAAAGAATTAAAGGAGAAAGACTAATTGAATGCCAGCCAATGTGGTATTATGGGAAATAGACTGTGGTGTCCTCTCCTCTGAGATCAAAAATGTGCTTGGTAACAGTAACAGCACAGATTTAATGTCTGTAGATACTGTCTTTTAGTGCTCTGTGTTCTGATCAAGACGAACATAGCTGTGCCATTGAAACACCTGTGTGTGGACTGGCTGATGAGTTTCAGAAGGGAGCTGTTAAGGAGGAATCGTAAAATGGTTCCACAGCAATTCACCTTAGGCCCGGAGCCATTCAACATCCTTGCGCTGGTCTAGAGACAAATATCAAATCATGACCGATCAACATCTGCAAGTGACTCGGAGATGTGTGGAGAAGTGCGTGATGATGAGGGACGGCAGCGGTATGGAGCAGTCTGGATTGTTTGGTCATCTGGGCTCACTCACACAATGTTTTTAAGTCCTATCAAAGGCCAAATCCTGCCAGCACCTGACCTGACGCTGCCCGAGAGCAAAGCAGGCAGAGACACTTGCAGAAAGAAACTGGAAAGCAGGGTTGTGAAAAGGCTGTAGGGAGGAGAGCCTTTTCAACCAGCTGCACCCCAGCCCCATGCACCATTGTACCTGAAAGGGCAAATGCAGTCCTCGGACGTATGAATAAGAGGGCAGTGAGCAGGAGCAGGAGGGATGTGCTGGTGCTGTGCAGTACCGGTGAGACCAGTTTTGGAATGCTGCGTACCGATCGGCATCCAAGGCTCTTTGGAAGATGGTGAAACCTTGAAGAAGGCACAGGAAAGAGCCACAGCAACAGCCTGTGGGGTGGAAGAATGCTGAATAACTTCAAGAGCACAATTTGTTCTGGTGTATCAAGGAGGAGGTGGCTTGATTACCAGGTATAAGCACTTTTCCAAGAAGGAAATACCAGGTATCAGGAGGCTCTTGAACTTGGAAAGATGGACAGAACAAGAACCAGTGGCTGGAAGCTAAAACCACAGCAATTCAACTTAAACATCACACCCGAGTAATCACGAGAGCAATTGAACCCTGGGCCAAAGGGTGGATTCTCCCCTTCTTGTGCCTTTAGCTCCAGCCCAGATGCCTGCATGGAGGTCATGCTTTAGCCAAGCACAAGTGGCTGAGCTTCGTGCAGAGGAGATGGCATGAATTCTCAAGCCTGTGATGTACGGGAGCTCTGGGTATATGAACAAATGGGCCGTTCTGACAATATGACCTTTGAATCTTTGTGTGGCCAGGCTTGAGGCTGGGTAGTGGATGCCATAGGTCTGGACAAACGGGCACCAGCTGGTGGATAGAGTGGGCATGCTCTGTTCTCCGCGTGCTCTGTACTCTGGAGCTCTCTGCTTTTGTTCCCTACAGCACACCAGCCCGGAAGGGGGCATTCACCTGAGTTGTCATTACTGCCACAACCTCTTCAGTGGGAAGCCAGAAATCCTTGACTGGCAGGTGAGGAGGAACAGCAGAGCCTTGGTTAGATTCCTTGCTCTGCTCAGAAGAGGAGGTGAAAGGGGTAGTGCTGTGTTGGGCAGTGGCAGCATGCTGCTCTGAATGAACTGGCCCAGCTATGGGTGGGAGGCACCACCCTGAGCTGTACTGTTCGGGTGTTTGGGACATGCAGGGCTGGCATCTCCCCTGCCACCCAAGGAGGATGCCTTGCTGCTTGGGCTCTGTGCCGGGAGCCCACGGTTCCCCTTGGCTCCCAGGGCTGGCACAGCTGACCCAGGCTGCGCTCTGTTTGGCAGGATAAGGTGTATCAGTTCTGCTGCAGGGACTGCTGTGAGGACTTCAAGCGGCTGCGAGGTGTGGTGTCCCAGTGCGAGCACTGCAAGCAGGAGAAGCTGCTGCATGAGAAGATCCGTTTCTCTGGCGTGGAGAAGAACTTCTGCAGCGAAGGTACCCAGGGAAAACACACGCAAAGCGGGCTCCTTCTGCCAGCCCTGCGGCTGGGGAGGGTGGGGGCCTGGCTGCAGACCTTGGGGAGACTGTGCAGCTGCCACCTGGGGCAGGGCCTTGCTGCGCGCTGAAGGGAAGATGCATCGGAGATGGGTCACTGTCCGGCCAGGACCTGGGGCCGAGGCCTTGCCATATGTCCTGTCCGTGGGGAGGGGTTTCTCATTGCTTTTCTCTCTCTGGGGCTGGGGGAGACAGCAGGTGGCAGCTCCGCTCCTCCTGTCAGCACACACATCTACACTGCGCCTGGGCTGGCCCGGCCCGGCCTTGCTCTGCCTGCCAGGTTCCTGCACACAGGAGGTTGGAGGCGTCTGTGTGGAGTCAGACTCTTCCTAGAACCATAGAGGTGAGAGATGGCAAGTCCCCATGAGGTCTCATCTTGTCCCAGCCCCAGGGGCCAGTGCAGGATTGTTACTACAGTGCGTTCTGTTGTGTCTCGCAGACCTGGCTGCCAGTCTTGTTTGGGTCAGGGAGCCCCCAGTACATCCTGGGAAGGTTTCACTCCTATTGTTTCTCCGCAGGGTGTGTGCTTCTTTACAAACAGGATTTCACCAAGAACCTGGGCCTGTGTTGCATCACCTGCACCTACTGTTCCCAGACCTGCCAGCGGGCAGTCACTGAGCAGCTGGAAGGCAGCACCTGGGACTTCTGCAGTGAAGACTGCAAAAGCAAATACTTACTGTGGTACTTCAAGGTCAGTATTGGCACTGGCAGCTGCCTGCCAGAGCTGTTGTAGGTGCCTCATCCAGAGCAGTGGGTGTTGCTGTGGGGAGCTTGCACTGACGGGACACTGCTGTGAGGGAGCTCACATGGTTGAAGTCCCCAGCTGATGCTGCCAGAGCACCACACTGCGGACCTGACAGGGCTGGATGCGTGGCCAGTGCCGTTGTAGAGAATGCCAGCATGCTGTAGCCCCAGGCACTGCTGGGGGGAAGCTCGCAGCACTCTGCCGTGCACTCCCGTCCCGCTGGAGCACATCTGCATTGCACCCGGAGTGAGGGTGGCTAGTGACCTGATTTTTCTCTCCTGCGATCCGGGCTTTAGGCAGCTCGGTGCCACGCCTGCAAGCGTCAGGGGAAGCTACTGGAAACCATCCACTGGCGGGGGCAAATCAAACACTTCTGCAACCAGCAGTGTCTGCTGCGGTTTTACAATCAACAGAACCAGCCCAACCTGGACACGCAGAAGGGGCCC